GGCGGGGAGCGGCGAGAGGGTTCCCCCCCCCCCCCCCCCCCCCCGCCTTTCTGTCTTTATTTTAATCGATTTGTTTATTTATTTATTTTCCCGAGGGCTGCTGGCGTCGGCTAATTCCTCTTATTGTTTGGGGAGACCGGTGCGGTTAACGCTGTCGTAACGGCGGGCAGGTAGTGCGTTCGCGGTGGCACGGGATGAAGATTGCTCTGGACAGCATCAGGCACGCAGCGCTGTTTTGGTGGCTCTCCCGGCGATCTCTACGGTTTATTCGGAGCTTAAAAGCGTTTTGCTGTTAGAAAAGCTGGCTGTGGCGGCTCAAACTTTTAATCAGCTGAGGAGGAGATGCTGCGGAGCTCGGAGCTAACCGACCGTAAATCTGGTGGAGTTTGTTTCAGTGCGTTGCACTGCTTTTAATATTTCATTAAATACTGAGGATGATACAGCTGTACTCTGTTGCATTTAAAAGGTCTGGAAATAGAGGGTAGCTACTTTTGGAGCGGACTCGTCCTTTTTCTTTCTTCTTAATAATTTTTAAAATGCCAGCAGGCTGGAGAGCAGGCCTGTGTCTCCTACAGAGGCTGAGGGAAGTCGATGCTACCTGGCCATGAGTTAGTTAATTAAAGCTTTATTTTTCTAATGCCATTGTGTAATAGTCTGCTCTCTGAAAAGATTTCCTGTGTGACCAAGGGACAGCAACAAAAGAAGGCCCTAAACCGAAAGTTTGCAAACCCTGTTAGGACACTATATTTGGGAAAAAAAAAAAAAAAAAAAGGGAGAGGAAAGGAAAAAAAAAAGAGGGGAAAAAAAAGGGGGGGTAAAAAAAAATACTGTTCTGAAGTCTGACCTCACAGCCACAGATTAACAGTTTCAGTCAATAAGCAAACATCCTTTGGGGGGGCAAAAACAGGCACAGTGCACACACGTGCGTACGGCACTGCACACACATATACGCATCGCGCTCCTGTGGCAAATTTAACACATGGGACATCTGACGTGTGCATCTGTGTGTGGTGAAGTGCCACGGGGGAGGCTGACTTCTCCAGACTTTTGGTTTGAAGCACATTGATCTGGCTGCAGTTCTGAAAGGATAAGTTATATTTCCTTGTTAATAAAATTACTTTCCCGTTAATGTTTATAGCCTGACTGCTGCATTATATAAATTAACTAATTGTCAAAACTGTGATTCAGGCTGGTTGGAGTTGTGATGACACCAGAACCACTCAATGTGATTACAGCCTTATAATTCATGGCAGGGTTACCTCTCACTTCTTCGCTCTGCTGTTTCTTTCTCTGTATTGTACGGATTTTTTTTTTTTTTGCATAAAATTTAGCCTTTTTTAATTTTGTATTTGGGAGTGATTTTTATTGTTTGTTTTTTTTTTTTTTCTTCCTTTCAAGGTCAATCCAAATTGCATTTTACCTCTGTGACCATTTAGTGTGTATTGTTGCTGTTGCAGCAGCAGCCCATCACTAGCTTGACTGCAATATTGCCTATAGCTTTAACTGTTTGGGGGATTGGGGGACGCAGACTGATGCTATTCCTCAAAACCTGGCAAGCCAAGGACATGAAACAATTGATGGTGTTTTTTTGAAAGAACAATAGCCTCGAGTATTGGAGGAGAAATATTGGACATTCCATGCCTTTTACTCACGTAGCTTACATTTTGCCAGTCTTTTTTTTTTCCTTTTTTTCTCATTTTTCTCAACTTTGTAAAATAAGCTTTTTGAGGAAATTAACCTTGTATTTGAGCTTAAAATAGTGACAATAGCTTTTCCGTACCTTGGCTTTTTTTTAACCTGATGCTTTAAAAAATAAATTAAATGCACTTTTATAGCCAGTATATAAAATTATCAACCCTGTGAAAAGTCATGTGTGTCTGTCTTTGCACACGTGCATTATTACTGTAAGGACAAGTAAAATTTCAAATCGGTGATACATTTTATATGGCATTAATTTTTCTTGTTTTCCTTGCTCCGCAGTTAAGTGCATACATCAAAGCTAAATAATAAACACATATACACACACCTATATATATACACGTACAAGTATTTCTCTTCTATAGACCTTAAGAGTTTAGCGCAGACAGGCAGCATCTGGATTTTGTTACCTTAAAGCTAGCCATCAGCTTCTGGGACATTTTAAAGCGGTTAGATCCATTGTATGTCTAAAGCTAATAGTCGGGTAATCAAATAACGTTGTGGTGGAGAGCTGTATCTTTTATCATGCCTATTGGAGCAACACATATTAATAAACCCCTGTACGATTCCAGCCATCCTGTGAACTCCAGCTTTTTATTTTCCAAAAACTACTCTTTGTACTGAGCATGGTAAGATTCAGCTCTGCAGAAAGAATGTGTTTTTATGCTCATAGTCATGCACGCTGAGGGGGGGTGCATTCATTTGTAATTAAGAAAGAAATTCTGGCTTTTCTTATGGCATTTGCGTACAGCTGGTGAAATGCAGAGTGGCATTGTGTTCAATGGGCAAAGTTTGGAAATTTGTGTTCCCTAGCATATTTGGGCGAAGCACTGGTTTTGCTTCGCTTGTTTGGTGAAGTTGTCTCGGTTCTTCTCAAAGAAGTACCACGTTACTGTACATCACGCCTTTCTCACGGGGGAGCATGGAGCTGCGCAGGATCTCAGTCAGTCTACAGTCCGTGTTTGTGTCTTCTAACATAGCTAGCGTGTTGTTGTGCAGAAATGGTGTAAATGAATAGCTATATGGGTAATGGGATTATAAATAGAAAAAATGGATTCCATATGTTTGTCTGGTTGCTTTAAGTTTTTAGTGTTTCGTGGCCTTTTGTGGAACATGAAGCATGCACTCTTATTATTCAATTTACTTGTGCTCCTTCATTATCAGATGCCACCACCGAAGCTAAAACTTTAATTGCAGGTTTAGACAAATGCGTTGTCATCCAAAAATGAGAAGGGGTGTGTGTGGGGGGAAAGTAAATTTTTAAGAGACAGTTGCAAGGAATTTAGTATGTCTCTTAAGGACAAGCACCGAGCCTGAGGAAAGACGTAACCTTATTTTTCTTGTTTTGGCATGACGCTGACAACTGCAGTTTGAAAGTACAGTGTTGGAACTTCTTCGGGCAGATCCTGAGAGCAGAGTCCAGTTGTCCTAGGAGTTTATTTCAGAGTAAACTTTTTTGGTTACTGTTGTAATTGAAGTATAGTCTTCTCTTGTTGCTGCAAAGAATATTGCATGGAGGTGGTTCAGCTCATGCATATCTGATGAGAATCTATAGGAGCTTTTTATTTTATTTTGAGACGTTAAGTGAGATTTCCTTAGTTGCATCCTTGCTGATGGCATAACTACTCAAACAACTGGTTTACAGGAGTATGTTGCAAATTGTCACATATGAAATGATAACAATGCCAAATCTTGCATCGTGGTCTGAATTTCTTTCTTTAGTTTCTTGCTTGCCAAAGCAAATTCTTTTCTCTTTGCTGTTTTGCACAGAGGAAAACAAAACTAGGCACCATGAAATATCACGTAATGATATGAAAAAGGGAGAAAAAAATATTAACTGAACTATTTGAATATATTTGGAAGTGTCTTTAATTTAGTAGATGCTGTGTTTTATCTTTGTCCTCTGCAGCTGGGGTAGACCTAGCGCTGGGGTAAGCTTTCTCTCCAAACGCTTTGCTGAAAAAAGCTGAATTACTTGGCTAGAAAGGAGGAGGTGCCACAGTTACCTGCTGACAGGAATTGTTTGGTTTACGATCACTGTACCTGCATTTGGGGTAAAAATACGCCAGTTTAGCAGCTATTTCCGTGCGGTTTGCTTTCATGCATTCTCCAGATATTTCCTACCTATTAGTCATGGTTCGGGTTTGGTAGTTTAAGTCTCATGGTGTTGACCCTCCTACCCAGTTAGAAGGCTGAAATACCTCAAACAGAGAGGTGGTGTTTACTGTAGTCACGATACCTCTTCATCTCTGGTTGCCTGATGCACATATGAACACATGCAAAAGGAAGAAGTGTGATTTCCCAACACCTATGTAAATAAAATCCTGTCTCTGTGGATGTGAAAATTGTGCAGACTGGCCCACGGGCAAGAGTGGCTTAGTGAGCATGTCCGTGAAGTGACAGATACGTGCCCCAGCTGAGGAAAAAACAATTGGGAAATTCAAACAGGTGTACTCAGAAAAGTTTAAGCTTGATAAAGTAATTTTACAGGTACATGTCTGGGCGTGTGTATGTGTTTTGTTATGTTTCCTTTTGCCATTTTTAGGGCACAAAGGAATTGGGGACCTCTTTTAGTTCCGTGCCACGAGCATGCCTCCCTCCTTGCTCATTTTAGAAAGCGTATTTTTGGAATTGGCGCAAAGCTCTTGCCTCTCTTCACCTTGTACCTACCAATCCTGTGCTGTTTTGTCACTCACGTTTCTGTTTAGCGAGTTTACCGCATTCCCCACTTTTGGCCATCTGGCCATACAGAAGGCCTTGAAGAAAGCGTTCCAGATACAGAGATGCCTGACAGGGCTTCTCTGGCTGGTAGTGTTCAGATTGTGTTTGGTGCCTGGTGTGAAGCAGGGGTCAGGTGTAAGGAGTAATTCATCAACCACACACTGATTTCAGGCTGCATTTCCAACCATCTGCAGCTTGGATTGCTGCCAGAGCTCAAAAGTCTAGCTGGAGCCCATGTGATTGTGCCAAAGTAAAGGCAAACACTTGCAAATAGAGAAATGCATTTCTAGGAATGAAGTTCGTTCGCACTTAGCCCCTGTTTGATTCAGTATGTCGCAGCATGTTTTAAATGCTTCCGAGAGCTGCCCAAAAGAAATATGAGTTTGTTTAAATGCC